ATGTGCTATCACACTTCCCAAGAACAGGAGTTGTGCTGAACTGAAGGAGCATGAAATTAGTACTTTCTAGTACCAGGGTAAAGAATAAGCATACTTTTGGCTTTGGTTTTGGGGTCTTTTTGCTTTGAACTGTTCCCTCTTCCCTTGTTTGGCAAGCACCTGAACCACATCAGTGTTTTGCTCTTGCCTTGAGAAGTTGATAGCTTGAAGTTCCAATCATCTAATTCTCTTCAAAGTGGATAAGATGCCTTACAAGCTGCTGTCTCTGTCTCCTAAGAGCTGATGGCTGGACACCACACCCCAGGGGATCCTACTGTTCATTAGTTTTGAATTTCCTCCTCCTAAGGAAAAGTCAATTGCAATACGTAGTAAAATATGAACAGGTCTTTGTGAGATAGGTGGGCATATGGGATCCTATTTCACCCTGACTCAATTCAAAAGGAATTTATGGCTATTAAAAGGCCATGAAAACCCAAACTTCACCCCATTCAAACAATGTGTTTCTATCTTGCCCTAAAAGAGCAAGAGCCAAAAGGGCCAAGGGTCTTCAAGGGCCAAAAGGGTACAGTTGTTCACAGCCTTTCCCATTTAGTTTTTAAGCTATCTACTCAGTTTGCAAGCAGAAGAGGCTAATGTATTATGACAGGGAAAACTGCCTACCAGGAACTGAAACTACCAGTTAATTTCAATGCAGTCCCCAGACACTCATTCACTATCAGCCCAGGATGGATCTGAATTAGAAACTGTAAGAAGCTGTTGGAGCCAGGGGCTACAGGTCAGCTGTGAGTGGTGACACGAAGTACAGGCTGCTCAGGAGGACTGGGCCAGTTGAGAGAGATAATTAGTGGTGACAGGAAATTGAAAGGCTCCCAGAGAAAAAAGTCAGAGAGAGGGAGAGTAGCTTGACTAGTGACCAGGGACTCAGGGTCTGGGGAGAGACCCAAGGGCTATGGGATAGTGAGACGCAGCACCACAGCAGAAAGCTAAGACATAGCCAGCCTGAGAGGAAAAGACTGCAGTGAGGAAGAAGCAGTAGTAAGCCAGAAGTCCTTCTCAGGGACTGAAGAGGACACAGACCTGTGAGTTAACCCTTTGTAGACTGTGTTTTTATTAATGTTTGAGCATTGGTTGATGTAGGAATATGCCTGTGGGACAGATATTTCTGGGAACAAAAGACTATATTGTATTTAAAGACCTTGTGAGCTAAGTAATAATCCTGAACCTGCTACAGTTGGTGGAGAATGCAGGCAAACAGTATAAAGGGGCCAGCAGCAGCACTTTAAACAGATTCTAGCCCTTGGAAGCAGATTTGAGCAAGTATAGTGCAGTGCCAGCAGTTAAGGTGAACTTCTGTGATTAAAGTAAGTGCTAGCATAGAGGCAGAAGTCCTGTTAGAGCAAGGATGTCATTCTGCCTTATTTTGGGAAGTAAGGGGCATGAAGGGGGAATAAAAAAGCTGCGCAGACCCCAAAGCCCTAGCAGCAATATGAGGCAAACTGCTTAAGGCTAGAGAAACAAACACTGAAAGGCACTGAATGTTGTTATTAATCACTTAACCTACCCAGTCCTCAAAGACAGCTGCCTTTAAAAATAAATATATGAGGGAACGTACACTTTGAAACCTTTTGAAAGGACAACTTTGGGCTAGCCTATGTGATAATTTACCTGCATAATTTTACCACTATAGTTATGCTGCTAGCTCAATATGGTTTATCCTCCTGTGTAGTGTTCCCTCCCACCACCCCATTAGAATAAGAATATTTTATGTTCCTTGGAAAGGTAAACCAGAAAAAAGATATTTTTACTCTGGAATGACAGTGCCCACATAGGAATTTATACTGATATAAATTTTGTGATCTAGTGGTAAGTTTCCCCACAAGGAAAAGTTCGTTATATGGGATTAACTGCATTGGGCCCCTGAATTCTGGGACTCTACTGAGGGCTGGGCTGGGACAGATGAAGCTCTGCTTCCTCTCAGAATTTTCTGCTTAGCAGACGACTGAAACATTGGACTCGTGCAAGTATGGTCTGGGGAGCACCCACTTCATTATTTATACTCAAAGACAGGTCTTAAAAAAAGAGTTAATTAGCTGATCAACTCTCAGGTCAGAGGCTTTTGTTTGTGGATAGGAGCAGAAGTTGGGGTAACACTGGATTACAAATCTAGGCTAGGTCTGCCACGAAAAACATTTTCTTCAATTAAATTAAATGTTATACTTAAACCATTCAAAATTTGTGGAATGTTAAGCAGTGTTAAGTTAGAACATACTGGGTGTGTCTACACAAGATTCTTTACTACTTTACTGTAACTCTCCCAGAAAATGTAGGCAGAGTAGTAAACTGCACCAGTGTAAGTGTCTAGGCAGCCCAAAAGAAAAGGGCTAAAGGGATCTGAGCTAAGCTCTAGCAGGGAAAGCAGACTAGTCATCAGGCCCAGAATGGAAACCTCTGTGCATGACTGGAGAATCACCTGACAGGAAGGGGCAGGGTTTAGGAGGCACATGAAGCCAGACCCTGTTATACAAGCAAATTAAAGCTAGATACCAACCAGCTATAAAGACTAATCTACTGCACACTAAAGCATCACCATCTATACATGCACAGCATTTACTGTGCAGTAGACTAGTCTATTGCACGGTTGCCTACTACCTGTAAATACAGGCAGCAGATTAACTGCACAGTAATTACTGTGCAGTAGTGCACATGTAGACTGCTGAATGGGTGCTAATTTCTCTTGATTAACCCAGACAGCATGGGGTGGAGAAATTGCCCCTTCCTCCAGGCAGCTGCTTCCAAGCCCTGTGCTCCAATCTGCTGACTGGAGCAGAAGCCAAGTGTGAGGACATTTTCTCAGTCCCAGTCCCAGCAAATTTGCTCTCAATGGGTGCGTATATAGACATTCTGCTGGGGAAAGCTTACTATGCAGTATTTTACTGCACAGGAAGTTTACAGCACATTAATAACACATGTAGATGTGTTCACTGTGAGCAGTCACAAGTTAAGAGTCAATACCATTTCTTGCCAGCACTGCCACTAGAGAGCTGGTGATCGGGGTGTGGTTAGGAGCCAGGAAACCTGTGATCTATCCCTGCCATGGGTGGGGGCAGAAAGGTGGGAGTGGTATATCCTGGGACTATGAAGGACTGCGAGTTGCTAGTTTTACCTCTATGGACAGGACTGAAGTTATTCAACATGAGTTGGGTAACATAGCCCAGAGTTAACGCTCACCTGAAGTGGCATAACTTTGAGATGCTCAGAGGACATTCAATACAAGCTAACAAGTTTTAATGTGCTCATGTTTTAAATGCCCTTACTATGGTCTAAGTGTAACATGTAACTTCACCCTAAGACTCTGGCTATGGAGATAAGAATTAGGCTACATATCACAACTAAAGAGATTCATCTGTAAATTTCCAAAAAGTCACACAATTAACTTTTAGATATAGCTCAAAGGTTGAATTTCTCAGTCAAGCCCTGAATACCACTTAGCAAACCTAGAGATTAGAAACAAATGTTTGGGAACAGCCTTTCTGGATGGACGTTCATCTTATTTTAATTCAAGTAGTTTCTCAGCAAGAGCAGGATTCATGATCAAAGAGCATTTCATTTAGTGTTACTAATAATAACACTAATACTTGGCACTTCAAAAGTGGCTTTAATCTAAATATATAGAACTGCTTTTATAAAACATATTCAGTACTTTGAGAAGTATTATTACCACTGCTTTACAGATCAGAAAATCGAGTCATTGATGCATTTATTCACTCACATGTATACCTGGGACAAGAACCCTATTTCATGTTAACAGTTAAAAACATGCACATGCACTTAAAAAAAAATCCTATGACACTTCCCATTTCCAGTCTATTGTAACTAGTGTGGCTGACGTTAATATTAATAGACACTCCACTACTATGAATAATGTATACAGTGCTTGAAATATAAATTATACTTTGGAAAACAATAATATCTATTCCATATGCCTTTAATAATAGTATTACTCAGTATTCATTAAGGATCCAAACAGACTGATTTCAACAGCCTTTGGATCAGTCCTAAGAAATGAAGATATGATATCAAAGCAATATCTAAAGGCATTTTTACATGTGGTCTGGAATGTGGCACCCAGTGCTTTAATTGGCAAACTGCACTAGTTAAAAGCTCCCGAGTTTCATATGTACCAGCGCCCCTGCACTGAAAAAATGGCAGTGGTGCACTTTGAACTAAAGCTCATCTGACGTATTTTATTTTAAAGTGCCCCATTTTTTCAGCATGGGGATGCATGGGGACACCAATACATGTAATATGGAAGGCTGTTGGAGCATGTCAATTTCCATGCTCCAACAGGCTCGATTAATCTGCTGCACTGAATTTCCAGCATGTCAGAGCAGGTTCCCTGCATGTCTGTAGGAGCCGTGCATTCCCCCTAATATCACCAGCATCTGGTGTGCCTGTTAGTTAAGAGAAAGCATTCTATATTCCAATAAATCGTGCAGCTGGTCCTTAAAAAGACAAAAAACCCAAAACCCCAACCAAAACACTACTACCCCATCTCTTTGCGAAACCTAGAGGTAAACCTGAAACATGTGACCTAAATCCAATGGATTTACCAATTTGTGGTTCTTGAAGTTGCCATTATTAATACAGTGCTAAATTCTGGGCCTTTATATTGAACAGTATAAACATGGAGCTGTCTTAAAAGGACATTTACTTCAGGGCTCCATTTCCCTAGCAGACTTCAGTGTAAATGAAAATAAAGCTCACAGTCTTAAAATGTGAATTTAACTGCACCCAAATGAAGCAGGCTTTATTATAGGTACATTAGATAGCTTTGACCAAGTTGCTGTGTTTGAATTCAGATTTAAATCAACATGCTTTGGGCCCAACTCTTAGAAAAAGGAAGAAGAGCATTTCCAACAAAATTAAGCAGTTTTCTTCTTACCTTTTATCCAAAACCCACTAATTTACTTTACTGAAAACAGCACTTAGTCTCTACTCACCCCTGCTGATCTAGTGGACCCTCTACTGTTTTTTTCACGAGAACATGCAATGGTTTTGCCTCTTCCATGGCTGCTTCCTACATACAGAGTACCTGTGGATGGAAAAATACAATTATCTATATACACTGGTTTAAATGAAGCCAAACTTGATAATAAGGTCAACAACAGGAAACCTATTTCTCTCCTCAGCTCATAGAAAAAGTTGTAAATAAAAGGCATATGATGATAAGTCCCAAGTCACCTAGAATTTCACAGTTGTCAGCAAGATGCCTTTATGTTAATGTACCAATAAAACTCTTTTAATCATTCTGATGAAGAGTTTGGAATAGATGAAGATTTGGAATCAAACTCAAATCTTTTGATAAAGACTTAAGACAGTGCTTGAGTAGCCCTTGAGTGTGCAGGGGCTTATGTAACGGCAGTGTTTTCCTTCTCACTGGGCACATTCACATGAGATACTAACTGAGCAGCAGCCTGAGTGCAGTAGAATCACTTTAAGGTATTCACCAGTGCTAGTATGCAGTAACTCCAGTTACTGCCCATTTATTTAGTACTTGTATAAACTTACAAGTACTAACTAAATGTGCAATAACTACTGTGCAGTAGCATCTCATGTAGACACACCCACTATTGCCCATTCTACTGCATGCTGTCATGTCAGGCCCCCTCTACACATTATTGGTATTGCACAAGTAACTGGTTGATTGCACAATTACCTTGAGATCAGCTACACATGCAAAGTACTTATCACACAATAAAAAGTTCCAACAAGCTATAAAGTTAGACCTCAAAAATGTGTACTAACTTTATAGCTGGTTGCTATCTAGCTTTAATTTGCACGTGTGGCAGGGTCTTTCCTGTGGCTGGGAGCCCCATCAGCTGTGGGCTCCCAGCCACAGGGGTGCACCATGACCAGGCAGGGCTGAGTCCTGCAATTGCTGAGAAATTTTAGCCCCAGCAGCTGTGTACTCTGAATCTCAGCAGCACTCTGTAACTGGCAGAAACCCAGTATCTCACAACTGTAGACAATTGTGCCCCAGTGTGCCTCCCAGTGCTTGGACCCACCTGGGTCCAGCTTCCACAGGGTGCAGCTATGATCTCCCAGCCCAGGGGGTGGGAGAACCCCTCTAGGGTCCGGCAGTCCCCCCACCCCAGGGGTGAATGAAACCCCTGAAGAAAGGAGGTTGCCACTGCAGTGATCTCCCAGCTGTACAGGGTGCATGGGGTGCCCCCACAGCTTGAAGTTCCTGAACTGAGGGTGCTCCCAGGCACAAGAGCTTGTGCTGGGGGAGTTCAGGATTGGGCTCCTCCTGCACTGGCAATAAGGTGTGATAGGATCTAATGCACAATCCCACAATCATGCCTCCTGCCATGCACCTGTAGCATATCGAATGAGCTTTAGTTAAAGTGCCCCTGCTGCCATTTTGAAGTGTGGGACACTGAATACATGAGACACTTGGAGCCACTCTAAAGCACCTCCATGCCACTCCTCCCCCAATATCTGGAGCATGTATAAAGACATCCAAGACTTTCACTTCATCTGTAGCTGCCTGATGATTTCATGAGGTGCTTGTCCATGTAATCAGCATTTATTCTCCCAAAAATGTTTGTGGCTTACTTTTCTTTTTAGTTTATGATGACTAAATGAGTAATGTGGATGGGATTTACCACATAATGGTTTATTAAGCTATAGCTAGTAAAATGCAATAGGGGGCATGTCAGAACAATTTTACCCTCCTGCCCTTTCAGTACCACTTACTGCCACGTAGTGTTTTAGGACAAGAAATGCCCAGGAGAGTCTTCCCAAAGGACTTCATCCACTTTTTCCCCTCGCTTTTTCTGGGTGTTTGGGGGTTTGGTGGGCAAAATCTTTCCTTGCAAAAGCATCCTGTCTGCCTCCCTTTCACAATTCTGGCTGCTTCTTGCTTTTTCTGTGTGCTTTTTGCACCGGGTGCTGGATGTGGTGCTGGGTGTGGGGTACCTTAGGGTTACAAAAGTGTATACAAGCATTGCATCTCTCATACACCCACTTTACAAAGCTGCACATTTTTCCCCCACTGTTTTTTGTACAGGGAAGAGTTCTGTTTTTTGGGCTGTGCTTTTCATGAACTTTTGCAGCCCACGAGGGATTTCACGTGCTTTCCACCCTGGTGCCAGGCTGTCTGGGTTGTTGTTTTTTTTACACCAAAACAAGGCTGGCAGGGTAGGGGGGAAGCTGCCCCCTTGAGGGTCTATAAATTTGTGGAACAGGGATCAGGGTGTGTACACTTTATCCACAGAGAATGGGACGAAGCTCAGCAGGACACTTGTCCCTGGTGGCACAACCAGTTCAACCAGTTCAGTACTTGCTGCTGATCTCTGGTGCAGTGCAGCATATCCACAAATAAGAGACTTTTAAGGCAGGTGGGACTCAGCCTAGTGGGACACTTGCAGCTGGTGGCACAACCAGTTTGACAACAGTGTGGGCTGCTGATATCCATGCAGCATTCTCCTGCAGGATGAGACTGCTTTTGCAACACTTGAAACAGGACACCCTGAGATGTTTCACAAACAATGCATAGGTAAGTGGCTGTGTCCTGAGGGAGGGTGGCTTGCATTATTTACTTAAATTTTCATGTAAATAGGGTTTAATTGCAATGAATGTTGGTGCAAGTGTGACAGGCTAGCTGGCAGTGACCTAGTCCAGGGGTTTTGAAAGGGCAAAAGATGATTGAAGGACTTCGGATTCCCTTTCCGCACCAATCAGGCCCCAGAGACTCACCCCGCCATGTCCTGATTGGCTCCTTGGGTCATCTGGAGGGGGGTAAAAGGGGCAGCGTGGGCTAACTCAGGAGAAACGAACGAGGGACAACAAGGAAGGAGCTTCACAGAGCTGGCAAGCGCTGAGCCAGTGGGGCAGGAGCAGTGCCCCAGAACAGCCTGAAAGAACAGGACCTGCAGGCAGCAGTGGGACCCTCAGCAGCGCGGTGTGCGGCCAGCAGGAGAGGCTCCCCACTGGGCTCCAGGATCCCCTATGAGAGGCTGCAGCCAGCAGGAGAGGCTCCCCCGCTCCAGGAAGGATCTGAGCAGCGACCTGAGGGGTTCCCAGCTCTGCTTCCAGCTCCTCCAATCAGAGGCCAGGTAGCTCGACATGAGGCTGGGGCTCCGGGAAGGTCAAGACCCCTAGCAGGCTTGAGCAGTGCCACTACCGGTGGCTGTGTGGCAGCATTCCTGCCTACCGCATGGGAGATCTGGGTTCAAGCTGAGATGACTTGGGGTGAGTGAGATAACAAGAAGCAAATCTTCTTGCAGTGGAAAGGAGCCATTGTGTTTCCCCACCCTTTCTCCCCCTCCAAGTACCAAGGCCCTATATTTCCTTATCATTTGACATTTTGCATTTTGTGCCTTTTTACATTTCACCAACCCGTATTGTTTGTTCTGCTGTTTGTGTTTTATATTTTGTTAACCCTTGTTCTTTGTCAATGATTGTAAGTGTCTAACCTTTGTTGAATCCTGCCCCCTTGGGGCATTGTAGTGTCCACTATACCCTCTGATTTATGCCTGTTATGTTCCCAGTATTAAAAGGTATATGGTTAAGTCCCCTTTGGTGGCCTGGCTCTGCTCTATAGGGGGAGGAGAGTCCCTACACCTCCCACAGTGCTTGTGTACCTGCTTTGGTCCCTTCAATTGGACAGAGGGTACCTCTTGGAGTACCGCCTGGGTTACACAAGCTATCCTACACCATGAAGTCCTGAAGTTGCAAGGCAAGTATTCAATGGGGGGTAGAAGATACACCCTTTCCCCCTTCTTGCCTCTCATGCCCCCCCAACTTTAATACAGGAAGGGTACCACCATTTCAGGGCTGGAGAGAATGCATGGTGGTTTTACAATACAAAGTCTTATGCTCTATGTAACAGGGTTCTCCTTAAGACCCTGTTGTTAAGGAAGAGAGGGCAGCTGGAAATAATGACACCATGAGGACAGCGGGCCCTGGCCCTCAGGTGCCAATAGCAGCTAAACCCTGGAGGATAAAAAGGAGAGGAAGATGAGGAAAGGTGCCTTTGGGCACCACAGAAGAAAGAGAGAGAGAGAGAGAGAGAGAGGAGCTGCAAGAGGGACCCTGGCACTGGATTAGAGGGATCTCAGGATCCAGATCTCATCTGATCTTACCTTGAGTCCACTGGAGTGATGGTGAGTGCGGGGAGAAGTGGAGCCGGGCCACGGGCTGGAGCCATGCTCTGCATTAAGAATCGGGGACGCTCCATTGAGCCGGAGGGGCAGCGGGAGGGAAGACCCCGCCCAGATCCCTGAAGAGTCTGGGTGACTTCAGGAACTCAAGGAAAAGGGACACTAAGGGCTGAGAAAGCAAGCCCCAACCGCGGGAGAGCCGTGGACCCTGCTCACTGAAGCCGCACACAAAAGGAAACAAGCTGCGTTTGTAACAAGCCACTAATTAGTCAATTAGCGGCTTAATAGAACAAAAGGAAACTTTTCTTTTTTTTCTTTTTTCTCTCTGTCAATTACAGGGGGAGCGGGCTAGGACTCAGGCATGACTGAGAAGCCCGGAGACTCCCTTTGCAGGGCAGAGGACGTGGAAGGGACCCTGTGGACATTGATTCTGCACTGCCGCTACAAGCAACTAAGCACCCTACTTCACTTGCTGTCTCAAGTAAGGGGCCGGAGATCCTCTGCCGAATACAGAGGGTGACCCAGTGGAGACCCAGGGTTAACCCTTAGGACTGTGATTCCCCTCTCCTGTAAGAGGGGAATTCCCTGTAAAACCGGCAAACCACTGAATAAAAGCAGAAAGGAGAAAACCAAGTTATTTCAGCATGGTACTTCCTGCAGATACTTCCTTTGGTAATAATCACTTCCTCCCAATTCTGGTCCACTTCTGGGTCCACTGGGGGCCCTCCCCCATGCTCCCCTGGCTCAGCGACTGGTGCCTCCTGGGTCTGGGGGGGGGCACCCAGGGTCCCCTTGTAGCTGATCGCTGAGCCTGGGGGTGGCAGAGGGGAGCCCCCGATCTTGCTCAGTGGCGGACCTGGAAGTGGACTGGAACTACTTCCGGTCCACTTTTGGGCTTGCCACCAAGCATGTGCAGGGCCCTCCC